CATCATACATATATATATATATATATATATATATATAACAGGGATACAGGTGTCCCATCTACGTCAAAGGGTTAAATTTGAAAGATCAATACTCTATGTTATATCAGATGTCTCTTATAACATAAATAATAGATTTTTTAATATAAAAATTGGCATTATTTAATCAATTTAATATATAAAAGTTCAAATAATTCAATTAATTTAAAAATATAGAATGAAAAAGCATACTGATATCATACTGTAATAAATTTAACACTAAGAAGAGTATCTCAGATATTAGAAAAATTAAGAAATGTTAATAAAAAAATTAAAAAATGTGTATTTCTCAGTTTAATTTAGTTGCAACTTAGTCATTAAAAAGCACTTGTAAGATGTAGCTACTTAAAAGAATTTCTTCTTCATTAGTTTTCTTTGTATTAAGGATCATGATATATCTTTTTTGAAAAAAAAAACTGTTTTTTTTCTTTTCACTAAAGTTGTCTGCCTCATAAAAAGAAAGTTTATAAGACACGCAATAAGAATTTATTCTATTCACTTTTAAGGACGTTAAATTAGGCATGCAAATTTATATATTCGTGAAACGAATAAACCGTTGTCGGAGAACTGTGATCAAAAGGCCACTTCAAACGAAATAGAAAATACAATCTCATTCTATTTTTTATTTAAAAGAAGACTTAAAATAACTGTTTGAACATTGAAATAATATTGGAACAAACTCTTTGATGATAAATCGATACATAAATATAATTTTTACATTTATTATTCATCAACCCCGCCATGTTTTTTTTAAAAAATGGCTTAAAATTCTTCATTTGCATGTAAATTCCTCCTTTGCAAGTTTCTTGCAAAATTTGCATTTTTGGAGGAAAATGTTACAGAAAATTCTAAAACGGTAATAAAACAGCAAAGATAAATTATTATTCAAATCTATAATTTTAGTATAAAAATATAAAAACTGAAACTTAACGATTTGAATCAGAAGCAGAAATGTTAATTAAAAGAACAAGTAGAATTTTTTTAATTAAGAGGACAAGTAGAAATCTTAATTAAGAGAATACATAGAAATTTTAATTAAGAGGATAAGTAGAAAATTATATTAAAGTATGAAGGAATGCACATATTATTGCTGTATACACTCTTAATTCATATACTTAGAAATTTTGTCAAAAATAAAGAAACAAAATATGCATATTAGGGACCCGAAGTTAAAATGACATCTAGGAAAAAAAGCTATCGAAAAATAACGAATCACTAGTAAGAAAGGCTGGATTGAAAATACCAAAACCTATTTGATTGCCGGCAGAAACGAAATTAAAATACTGACAGAATGTTTGATCAGTGAATTAAGGAAAATGCACGGATTAAAAGAATTTTAGTAAAATTACCGTACTGTCTTTTGATCATATTTCTGGTAAATAAAAGCATAATTCCGGTTAATAAAATTAATATATACCATATTTAAACCAATATTTTGGTGATTTTTTCCTTTCATATAGTAATGGAATACCAGAAATTCTAATTTTAAACATTATAGTTCTTATCACCAAGCATTTAGTGAAAAATAAAATTAACTGAGTAAATGATTTTTATAAGGTATCATGACTGAATTACCAAATTTTATCACATTTACAAATTTTTATTGCACAATATAAAACCATATTTCATTGCCAATTTTATTAAAAGCATTACCAAAGCGCTTCGGTAAAAATTGCCGAGTTTTTTCGTATTTCTATATAGCCAAAAACACGGTAAAGTTTACCATTTTCTGGTAAATATTGCTATATTTTTTACTCCGTGTAAAAAATTTTACATTTTCAGGAGAAACTTAAGATGTCGTGGAAAAATATGAAACGTTTTTGTACCTTAAATTTATTACGTTTGTAACATAACTGAAGCAGAATTTCAACGTTTTTGGCTTAATTCAGATACACTTAATTAAATAAATATTTACTGCACATCTTTACTTGATAAATAACGTTACTAATAGCTAATAAGTGCAATTAAGAAAAAAATTAACATAATGCCAAATAATAATTCTTAATAACATTTACTAATACGTATATATTAGAATAATTGTTGAATAAAGTGGAGAAATAAGTATCATAAATCTAAAGTTATTGCTTGAAGGCTTAATCGAGTTTTTCTTAAATAAATAAACTTTTGTTTTCTCTTTATTGACTTTAAAGAATAACTACTTATAAAATAATTAAAATAAAAGTAACTGAAAACACTAAAAAATTAACTAAATGCAAGTATCGTGTATTCTTGAAGTTTGAATGAAAATATAAACGAAATATCATAGAATTAAGTGTTGAACTATCCAAATTTACATTTTTTGAAAATGGTATTTTTTATAAAGTAACTAAAACAATATCTAGTTACTTTCATGATGGAACTTTACGGGGAAACAATATGCTAAAAAAAGGCTCATTGAAAAGATAATTTTCATAAAGTGTTAAATTACAATATTTTTGCAATAATCCTTTTTGCCGTTTTGATTGTTCTGAAACGAAATGTAATATTCAAATACAAATTATTAAGAAATGTGTTGTGTTTATATTTTATTCGCCTGCCAATTTCCTCATTTAGTTTCACTGTACATAATCATGATTATATACTAATCTAGTACTAATCTAGTACTAATATAGTACTAATCTAGTCAAACGTTACATTCTCTGCTTTTGTGTTTATATTGTCCAGTAGAAAATAAAGTATTTTCTGTTTGATTGCACTGTGAATTTAATTGGGTTCTTGTACTTCGAGGAGAAGAAGATCACGGATACTAACACATATGACCGATGACGTCAGCGCCAAGAAATTATTGTTTTACATTTAAATGGCTTATCTTGAAGACTTTTTTTAAAAATATGATTCATTCTTTAGTTAGAAATGCCATAAAATAAGGATAAAAATAAAGGATACATATAATTTCATCTCTTATGTTTCAGAGCCAAATGATCAGGTAAGTAAAGCTGAATGATAATGTCTGGCTAAAATGAACATAAAATATTAATTACAATTTTATCCAGCCTATAAGACTACAAAATGGTGAAATTTAAAAACAAAAAACGTTCTAATATGATTTTGAACAAATTGTTCTTTATCCCTCACTTCCAGTAATAAATAGGGGTACTCCTTCTCTAATTTATGTTCAGTAGATGATGGATTCTATTTTTAATTATCAAAGTCAATTTCACCAATTCCCATTACAAAACTAAGAAAATAAATAGAAATATATTTGAGGGAAAAAAATTCATCACTTTCTAATTCGTAAAACGTTACCAACTCTGACTGAGTACTTTTGAAAAACAAGTACCAAATTTTAAAGTTTTAAACAATTTTTATAATTGGGTACTTGCACTTCAAGAAGAAGAAGAAGATCACGGATGCCTACACATGTGACCTCTGACGTCAGCGCCAGTGGATCGTTTATAAGCAAAATGGGGTGTTTAAGGTGAGCTAAGTTTTACACACAAGTTAGAATGTAAATTAACGTGAATTTAATTAAATACAGCTCCATATCACAATTACAATTTGCTGAAATACAATTCGCTCTCTTCTACGTCCTTTACTTAACATATATATATTTGTTTATGCACTTTATTGTAACCGTTATACATTTTTGTGTTGTGTACTACCTAATTCGATGCATAATTAATTTGTTTAGGTTCTGCATGACTTTATGTCTGTCTTTGTGTTAAGTGAGAATTAAAATCTTTATGAAAGAATCTTTCTGTAAGAAAATAGAATGTGCCACTCAAGAGAATTGATACTTGGAGGCTTGGCTTACTCGAAATAGAATGGAAAGAGCAGTTGCAAACGTAAAAAAATGCCCCGCTTCAACAACCAATCAGGATCTAGATAGCCACACTACGTCACTTGCAGGCATCCTATTATAAAACTTAATCAATATTTTTTTCTTTTTACAAATTTGAATTAAATAAAAATAATTAGGAAGATAAAAAAAAATAATCCTGATAGAAATTAAAATATTAAATTTTACTTTTTACTTAAGGCTATGCCAACCTTACTTGTTTTTAAATTGGTGCAATATGATGATAATGGAATTCAGAATATTTACCCACGTTTAAAACAAAACAAAAGACATCAACGCATAATAACACTAATTTTACACAGTAAATTTTAATATTTTGTAAAAAAAAACTTATTCTGATTTATAACTTAGAACAGATAAATTTAAATATTACAATCGTGTTTCTGATTAGTTCTAAAA